AGTTCTGCCATTGCAATCAAGAGAGCTCTCAGGTGACGGGTGCAGTTAATGGACACATGGCCGACCCCTCAGACTACTGTTAGCAAGGCCTTTGGGAACTCCAGGCTACAGAGGTATAAAAAAAACAAACCACTCCCACAAAGCATGTTCTACAGAGATTTAACCACTTCAAAGTAACCTGAGATGCAGGGGCAGAATCCAGGGTGGACCTGTGTCCATTCATCTGAATCAAATGCAGAGCTTTGAATTCTGAACAGTCCCCCGAGTGGGCGGCCACAGCACGGGCTGGTGCCTGTGCTGCTGCCTGGGCCTGAGATGTGAAGGGTGAGCCAGCCCGCCGACTTGTGAGATTAAGATTACTGTGATTGCTGATGATTCTGAGTAAATACAGATGTTATCCCAGGTGTGTCCCTGTGAAGACTGAGACAATAGACTTTTACGTTTGAGAATAAAAGCGAGCCTTTGGGAAACTCCATATTTCACAAAGACATGAATCTGTAGATGCACTGAAAGGCCTGGACCGCATAGACACTGCTTGAAACATTTATACCCAGTTAGCTTGAAGGGTTTCAATGGACCAAGATGGTGGCTCACTGTGGGGAATGGAAGCCCTCTGTGGGAGATGGAGGCTCACTGTGGAGAATAGAGGCCCTCTGTGGGGAACAGAGGCCCACTGTGGGAAATAGAGGCCCACTATGGGGAATGGAGATGCTCTGTGAGGGATGAAGGCACTCTGTGGGAGACGGAGGCCTTCTATGGGGAATGGAGACCCACTGTGGAGATGGGGGGCCACTGTGGAGAATGGACACCCACTCTGGGTAACTAAGAAAATAAACTGACACAAGAATGTTGTGATATTACACATGCAGCACAGTGTTCTTTAAATATGGTTCCTCAAAATGAATGATTCTTATGCAACAAAAGGTCCTGTGAGATTTACTTTCTAAAGACTTGCCACTGAACCTGGGACCAGCATGCTCAGCAATTGCTCTGCTACTGAGACACACTCCTAGCTCCCGGCTGAAGTCTCTCTACCTGAAGTTACTTCCATGCCAAGCAGCTCCTCAGGTGCCAGGACAATAGGCAGGCTTGCGCCATCAAGCCAAATGCAAAACTCTCACCCTCAATAAACTCTTGAGATTGGAGGGTTTTGGTTTAGGGCGCCTCTGCAAATATACATATATGTAATTTAAACATTCAAGACTGAAAACGCTTCTAGTCTTGAGCATTTCAGAGAAGGGTTACTCAACCAGAACTAGTCAAAGATCACAGTCTCTTGAATACGGCTCAAGTTCTCAAGACAGGGAACCCAGGTTAGTCAGTGCCTGGACCAAGGTCCAAAACTGCTCTCAGAACATGGCCACCTGTCTATGTGAGTGACTGCGATGTGGGAAAGACCATCCATGGAGGAAGGATGAGTCAAGGCTGTCAGTGACCGAGCCATCATATACACGATTCTCTCCCAACTAACTACCCAATCAGCCAGCTAGGATTTGTCCCTCCCACCCTCCACACTCCGGACACCACTCCGTGTGCTAGCTTCTGCAGTAACTCCACATCTCATTTGGGAAGACTTCTGCATCTAAAACTTACGACCATCCAAGTGTTTTCGAGAGTCTCATCTTCCTTTAAAACTGAACAGAAGTTACCTAGAACACGGGGTCATGGGCTTCCATTCAACCGCTAACCAAACCTCTCAGCTTCCTCTTAAGTGTCAGCTAACATCATATAAGACCCTAAATGGCCAGGCACGACTAAGGGAACTAAACAGTTCTACGTAGACAGGAAACAGTGAGGAGAGCAAAATATTTGCAGAAACTAAGGGCCAACTGATGTGACGTCCAGGGGACGTCAGCTCGTAAAATTAGATTTCATGGGGCTGGAGATGGGGCCGTGTGGTTAAGAGCAGTCAGTGCTCTCAGGTAAGACCTGGAGTTCTACTCCCAGCGTGCACAAGGTGGCTCACAGCCATCTGAACTGCCATTCCAGGGGACCTGACAACTTCTGTAACCTCTATGGGCACCAGACACAGAAGAGGTACACACAGGTACATGCGGGCAAGACACTCAGACAGACAGAACAAAAGAAAGCTTAGAAAAAACAGGTTTCCTATTTAATCCAGCCAGTGAACATCTGGATTTCTCCCTGGATCTTCCGGGCTCCTTTAGCCCTAATTTACAAGGATAGAGTTTACCTTGGGAGTCAGTGCAAACACTTACATATATACCCATTTTAAAAAAAAAAAAAAAACTGAAACAATGGACTGATAAAACAAATGTAACACCTATAATAAAACTCAATTACTTTTCATTTTCTGGATGTGGGCAGAACATAATAAATTCCCGTCACTGATAAGGGATCTAGACTGTACTTGGGAAAACTCCACAAGGATCAGAAACTCCAAGAGCCCAGGGAGAAAGGCGGAGAGGCCCACTACAGCCGTCTGTCAACAGAGGGAAACTGAGAACAAGGAAGGTCACCTTAGTGAGGAGTGCCTGATCAAACATCAGTTTAAGGAAGGTGTGGCCGTTTCAGGGAGTGAACTAGATGTACCCTCAGCAAGGAACTCAAAGGAACACTGACCACAAGAAGGGGGATGGAGGCCGGAGCAAACACCTGAAACATGAACGTACACCTATACTGCTTTTGGATGTGCGAAAGTTCAGCAATAGAAACTGGAAGGCATGATGTTCAAGCTCCCAGCACCACCACAGAGGCAGGGGGGAAAGACAGGAGGCAGAGAAGGCACAACCTATCTTTATATATAGTATCTGGGTGCCAGGCACGGTCTTTGTGCACACCTTGTGAGTGCTGAAGTTATGTTTTCAGTTTTAATTACTGTGCTTGAGAGATTTATAAAACAAAAAATGCCTCTAACCTGAAGCCCCACTTGCCCTAGGACAGATAATTCCTTCAATGCCGGGGGGATGCTGTTCACATAACAAGCCACACGTTCTCACTTCTGTAAACAAGGTTGGTTGCTCCAACTGCATAGGATGTGCTTGATCACATGGAGGCCGGAGGTGCATCAGGATGTATGCTCACCCTCGGTTGGAAGAAGTCCAGGAATACTTAGCTTTGTGGAGTTCGCCTTCATAAGCACTAGACTAATGTGATTTGCAGCCATTCTCTGGGAATCTGAGGCATGGACCTGGCTGGTATCTATTGTCCTGGTCAGTATTTAATAAAGCTTGGTTCGATTTTGGCTTTAAAATTATGGTAGTAGTCTCATTCCTGCCCGGGGAGATTAACAACCTGTAATCCCACCATTTGGGAAGCAGAGGCAGTAGGACACAGAGTTCCCAGGTGGCCTGAGATACAAAGACCCTGTCTAAATGTATATCTAACATTTGAGTGGGGCCCACACGTGTGAGATTACTGTTGGGTCCTCCAGATAAGGAGCTTCTCAAGTGGTGCCTCGTATCTGCTCAGTGCCCTGACCATGTCACAGAATCCTGAGCAAGCTGGTTTCAGTGCTAAGGACCCCAAGACCCAACTTTATTCAAATTCTGGGTAGGGCAGCAATCTGGGTGAAAGGCATAAGGTGAACAGCAGGGTTCTAAGCTGGCACAGCTTCCACCAATCCCAGGAAGTGTGAATAAATACAGTTTAGTGCAGGACTCAACAATTAAGATCAATGGCTGCTCCTACAGGGGACCTGAGTTCAGTTTCCAACACACACATGGCAGCTCACAACCATCTGTAACTCCAACTCCCGGGCATCCAGTGCCCTCTTTTAGCGTCTGGGGATACCAGGCACATACCTAGAGCACTTACGTGCAGGAAAAACACTCATACACAGAAAATAAAATATGAAAATCTTTAAAAAATAGTTTAGTTCAACATTTTTGCCAACTCATTTAAAGGATTCTTATCTCTAATCATACTGGCTTTGACTTTTAAATCATTCACTCGGGGCTGGGAAGTGGTGAGTTTGAGGACAGCCTGGTCTACTAAACTAGTTCCAGGACAGCTAGGACTACACAGAGAAACCCTGCCTTGAAAAACAAACAAATGAACAAATCCCTCCAACCCCCCACACTCCTCCACTCAGTTAGGAAAAGTCAAAATGCCAAGAGGAAGTCTGGTTGTCGCCTTCTTAGCTACAATGCCATACACACTTTATCTCACACTGCAGCCTCTGGGTCAGCGGGTGACAGTGACACAGTGACTTGAGAATCTAGACAAAATGTGGGGACACAGGAATGTGTGGACAACCTTCTAGAAATTAGTCTTTGAGCCATGATGCCCAAAGAGTCTGGGACAATGCATGTATCGCTTTACATTTTCCCCATGAGCTCTCAGGGGACCCCACATGGGCATAAACAGCAGAGGATCTGATGGACTGACTGATAACCCAGCAGCTGAACAGCAAGCTGTGACACTCAGGAGAGCTGGCGCTGGCCGAGGGCGTCTCACCTTTCATTGCCTATTCCTCTGGGGAAAGGCTTGGGGTCACTAGTACTTCAGGATGAAGGCTTTCCAGATGTTAGCATATTTACATGATCTTTACTCATTCGTTCCTCACCGAAAGATACGGCATCTAAATTCACAACTGTGAGAGTCAGGTGCTTAAAAAGTTTCAGAATGTGGCACACCTCAGATATCAGATGGGGTGCCCAGCCATACACATGACCCTCACAGAAAAAGGATGGAAAGCAAGCACCTCCTGGGACCCACCCAGGGGTCTGCTTGACCCTGGAACACAACTCCCAAAACTTCATCCCAAGACAACTTCTCTACCAAGACATGCTAGAGAATACTGCAGTCATTGAACGTATCTGACAACTTAATTTCAATTAGTTAGAATTAAATTAAATTGAGCCACTGTTCAAGCATTCAACAGCCTCACACGGCTAGTTGTTACTCCACTGCAGAGGACAGACCGACGACTAAACCACTGTACTAGCATGCTCACACCACCATGCAATGACATAAAGAATACAGATAGGTAGGAGGTGTCACTTGGGACAGAGCAGCGGGGAGACAGCAGGCCTTGCCTTCTCATCCTGGTGTAACTTGTTGACGTTCTCCAGTTGGAAGCTGTGACTGGATTGGATCCTGTCCAGTTGTTCTCGTTGCTTCTGGAGCTCGCCCTGGAACTCATTCTTCTTCAGCTCTACGGCACCTCTCTCTGCGGCTGCCCTGCGGACTCGGCCTTCCAGCTCGACGATGCGTGTCTAGAAGAAACCCACAGCCGTGAAGATCCAAGCTGAGACACTGTCTGCTCCCTCAACCAAGGCATCATGGGACCAAAGCTTACAGGCCAGTGGAGAACAGAAGGGGGCTGGGGGCGGGGGGGCTTGCTAAAATAATTGCACTGGACACTTGCCAGAGGCAGCCAATGACCTAGCCAACAAGGGGAAGGGTGAGCATGTTCTCCACTGGGAGAGGTCAGGCAGATCAGATCAAAGACAACAATCATGACCTAGGTAGGGGTCAGGAGGCCTCAGAGGGGCCCACATCTACAATGACAGACTGCCATGGTTTCATGACTTAGATAGGGTTCCCATTGTTATGATAAACACCACGACCAAAAGCAACCTGGGGAGGAAAGGGTTGATTTGGCTAGCCCCACTAGACCATCCTGGTCACAGCTCATCTTTGAGGGAAGCTAAGGCGAAACTCAAACTGGCAGGAGCCTGGAGACAGGAACTGAAGCAGAGACCATGGAGGAACACTGCTTACTGATTTGCTCCTGCTGGCTTGCTCTATATAACTGCTCAGGGGTGGCATGCTCTGTCCTGTCAGTATCTGCACCACCCCACACTGGGATAGGCTCACATCAGACACTAACAAATGCCCCATGGCATGTTCTCAACAGTCCCCTCTTTGGCTGACTCTTTAAACCAAAACCAAAACAAGCAACAACAACAAACCCAACCAGGATATGGCATGGCCTCATTTATGATTGGCCGCAATATGTGGGTAACCTAAAATTACCACCCACGTGGCGCTTGGTTTCTCCAGAGGACTGACAGACAGGAATGGGCAGTGTCCGAATCACTTCTACCGGCCAACGTTCCTTTTTTTTTTTTTTTTTTTGGTTTTTCGAGACAGGGTTTCTCTGTGTAGCCCGGGCTGTCCTGGAACTCACTCTGTAGACCAGGCTAGCCTCGAACTCAGAAATCCGCCTGTCTCTGCCTCCCAAGTGCTGGGATTAAAGGCATGCGCCACCACTGCCCGGCACCGGCCAACGTTCCAATCCGGCCTAAACACTCAACGGGGAAGCAGAGTGAGGTATGACCTGCAACTCAGTAGTCACAGAGTATGCAGTATTTGGCTGGAGGGATTATTCGCCTGGGGGTGCGGGGTTGGTGTGGAGAACTAAAATGCCATTAACACATGCTGTTAGAACCAACAGTATTGGCTGACAATAAACCGGGAACCTGTGGCACTGTCCCCCAAGCTACTTTAAACATTCAGTGGTGTCCATACGCTCGAAATAAGTGAAATACCTGGAGTTCCACGCTTCTGGAGCTAGCGATCCAGTAGTTGAAGCCAAGCACAATGACACAGGCCACCAGGGCAGCCAGGATAAGGGGCGGAGACTTCATGCTGCGACGCCCATTCCCCAATCCTATCATCTTAGAACCAGGGCTGAGGAGGTTCTGCCAAATAAAAACACACGAGTTTCCACACTAAGGCTGGCATCCCCCAAAGCAGACCACAAACATCTTCAGTACCTACAGGAAGGCAACCATATAAGCTCTGACACACACACACACACACACACACACACACACACACGCACACACACATACACGCACGTGCACAGAACCATTCACGAAGAGGATATACCAGCGCCCAAAGCCAAAGGTCTCGGTGCCTGACTGGTGAGCCAGCACTCGGGGATGGGGCTTATGGGTTGCCGCCACATGGAGACCCAGACGCAATAACCCGCAATAACCCCGAGTCCTCAGCATGGAACCATCTCTTCACACCGACTGCTCTCTGTGTCGTGGGCATAGCCTGGCATTCCCATCTCCGGTATAATTTGAGATTGTTCATGCTTACAAACAGGAATAGTAAACCTTGTTTCCATATCAAAAAAATCCAACATCTTTTCAAGGTTTCCAGAGAGCACTAGGTTGGTCCCAGGAAAGGGAGGCCTAGGCCGTCTGCCTTCACATCCCAGCACAGCCTTTGGAAGCAGAGCAAGAACGCCATGCTGGAAGTGAGTGTGATCTGCTCTGTGTACATCACAAGCTGTGTCATTGCCCCAGCAGGGGGCAGAGAGTGATGGGAGGCAGATGTCAGTCAGGCTAAGATGGAATAGGAACCACAAGAGCCTGAAAAAAAATCCTATGAAACCAGGAGTCAAAAATAAGCCCTTCCTTAAAGCGATTCCATCCAGAGCTTTGGTTACAGCGATAGAAAAGCAACTCATCCCAAGGGACGGGTCGGTGACAGACTGCAGGTCTTTTCTACTGCAGTGGTCTGCTGGCTGTTCTGAGTCCACTGTCTGCTGAGGCAGAGATGACAGACATCACTAGAGTATGGCTTGTGAGTGTGACCTCAGAAACAGGAACTCCCCAGTGTGGTCCAGAGAGTGACCACTTGCAAACTGCAAAGCCGGGGACATCCAGCCTGCTGATGGGAGCAAGGACTCCAGGTAGGAAAACGGCTACTCGGGAGAGCCAACGTGGGCTGGCAAGGCCACACAGTTGGGTGACTGAGGGACAGAAGTGGAGAGAAGTGGCCAAGGTGGATGAGGACTGCAGCCTGGATGTCTCGCTTCTCTTCCCCCACTGCAGACTTTATAGGATATAAACCATTTAAACCCTGCAAACCTGTCCACTCCAGGCTCTCCTGTGGTAAATGCAAGAGCCGTTAGTGTTAAAAGTCTGACTTTGGTGATGGGAGTGGGAGAATGGGTCTACTGTGTAGACCAGGCTGGCCTCAAGGAATGGGTCTACTATGTAGACCAGGCTAGCCTCAAGCTCTCAAGCCTCCAATCCCAGCCCCTACAACTGGCTAAAAGTCTCCACAAAACTGAAAAGCCATGAAAAACGCTATGGATTTTCAACTATCAACTTTACTGTGTTTTAAAACGTTAACCAGCTGGGTTAAAGTCAATACTTGCTTAAAAGATAATTGTTTTTAAGACAGGGTGGCACTCTGTAGCTCAAGCTGGCTTCGAATCCTCCATCATCCCCCTGCTGTAGCCTCCCCCGTGCTAAGATTACAGACATCAGTGTCCACTACGCTATGCCCTAATTTTTTTTTTCCTTGTTTAGAAAATAGGCTTCTGAGGGTGTAGCCCAATGGTAGCCTGGGTTTAGCACAAGCAAGGTCCTGGGTTAGGGGCTCAGCACCCAGTAGGTGGTAAATAGAGATCTTCCATGGTAACTTTTGTTAGTGTCGCTTTTGTTTGGTTTGCTTATTTTTGTTGCTTGGACAGGGTCTCTCTATGCAGTGCTGGCTGTCCTGGAACTTGATCCATAGACCAGGCTGGCCTCAAACTCAGAGAGATCCACCTGCCCTTGTTTCCCAAGTAGTAGTATTAAAGGTGTATGACACCACACCTAGCCAGGTGTGAGACAGAAAGAGAGGGACAGAGGGAAAGAGGGAGGGCGGGGAGGGGGGAAGAGGGAAAGGAAGAGGAGGAAGAGGAGGGGGAGGAGGAGGGGAAGAGAATATGACAGTAGATGACCTATCAAATCCATTGGCACTTTCTAAAAAGTTTCCTTTTTTAGGCCAGGCAGTGGTGATACATGTTTTTATAACGCAGCCCTCAGGAGGCAGAGGCAGGTGGATCTCTGGGAGTTCAAGGCCAGCCTAGTCTACAGAACCTGGTCTCCAGGGCAGCCAAGTTTACACAGAGAAACCTTGTCTCCAAAAAACTCCAAAAAAAAATGTTTTTTTTCCTTTTGCCCAGAATTTTTCATCATGTAGCCAAATACATGTGAGCAATCAGACGGGAAGAATCTGGGCGGCCATGCTGCCTGGACAGTTTTTTGGTCAGCTAGACACAAGCTCTGGGCATCTGAGAAGAAGAACCAATTAAGAGCAATCTTCCTTCAGATTGGCCTGTGCGAGGCTGTGGTACATTTTCCTGACTAATGATTGATGTGGGACCCCAGCCCAGCCCAGCCTCAGCCTCAGCCCAGCCTCAGCCTCAGCCCAGCCTCAGCCTCAGCCTCAGCCTCAGCCTCAGCCCAGCCTCAGCCTCAGCCCAGCCTCAGCCTCAGCCTCAGCCTCAGCCCAGCTCAGCCCAACTCAGCCCAGCTCAGCCCAGCTCAGCCCAGCTCAGCCCAGCTCAGCCCAGCCTCAGCCTCAGCCTCAGTCTCAGCTCAGCTCACTGGGGGCCATACCAGCTTTAGGCAAATGGTCCTGGCTTATATCAAAAAACAAACTGCGAAAGCCGTGGTAAGCAAACCAGTCAGCAGTGTCCAGATATGGTCTCTGCTTCAGTTCCTGCTTTGGCTTCCTTCAATGATGAACTGTGACCTGTAAGTCAAATAAAACCTTTCCTTTCAGGCTGCCTAGGGCACAGTCGCCAAATAATTCTCAGTCACACCTCTGTCCTACCCATAGGACAGGCTCCACCCAAACCTAGCCTACAAGCCAGCAGCTAGTTCAAAAGCCACTAAGATGAGCAACCCTGCACAGCACCCAGGTCTGTGAAGGTCATGGGCATCACCTTGATTTGAGTTTAAAAACATCATGCCTGGTCTCAAGCTGTCCCTGAGTCAGAGATCAGTAAACTGCGGCCCGCAGCCCACAGCCCATGGCTGCCCTTTTTTGTAAACACAGTTTTTCTGATATGGCTATCTTCCATAACTGCTTTCCAGCTACAAGACGGAAATGAACACTTAAATCTGACACCTCTGATAGGACCATTGAGGGGTTTAAACATTAACGATCTTTAACGCAGTCACAAACTTCCTCTAACGGAGACTTGAGGTTAAGTCCACAAAGTCTGGTTAACTTCCTTTATAAACACACCAGGAAATACAGAGGCTACCTTCCTCTCACTTCCTCGTCCCCCAACTGTAAACACCGTGCTTCCCCCTATTCTGGGTGTTTATAGTTTCTAGAAATACTAAAAAAAAAAAAGACTACACAACTGGACATGGTGGGCATGCCTGTTGCCCCAGCTCCCAGGGAGATGAGGCAGGATTGTGAATTGTAGGCTAGCCTAGGCTACCCAGGAGTCTCTTTCACAAAACAAAACAGCCCCCACTAAAACCCATAAGAAAGTTTTAGTAAACACAGTACTGACCTTTACTGACACACTAGTCCCTTCAGGCCAGGAGCCCTGGTGGACACACCCTTCTAGGGATGGTTCCATCCCTATCGGGAATGGCTGGCTTAGTATCTGCAAACAGCCTGTGCTGCTCACAAAACCCATGGTGCTAATGCTGAGTCCTCCAAGGAGCCTGTGCTGCTCACAACACCCACGGTGCTAATGCTGAGTCCTCCTAGGAGCCTGTGCTGCTCACAACACCCATGGTACTAATGCTGAGTCCTCCAAGGAGCCTGTGCTGCTCACAACACCCATGGTGCTAATGCTGAGTCCTCCTAGGAGCCTGTGCTGCTCACAACACTCAAGGTGCTAATGCTGAGTCCTCCTAGGAGCCTGTGCTATTTAGAAAAGGAAAAGAAAAAAAAAACCCAAACCCATGTGATCTTTGCGCATGACTGGTGCCTTCACAGGTCAGAGGGCATCAGATCCCCTGGAACTAGAGTTAAAGGTGGTTGTAAGCCAACATGCAGTGCTGGGAACCAAACCTCTGCAAAAGCAACAAGTACTCTTAACCACTGAGCCATTTCTCTCGACCCACGATAGCAGTTCTTCAGTGTCAACACTGAGCCAGCATTACAACTGTTGAAAATGCAAATTTTCTGAATCAAGGCAAACCCATGAGATTCCAGAACTCTGGCCACGACAAGCAGACGTGGAATCCAGAGATGTTAAGGAAGCCTGGAGGCCACACCTGTTCCTGTTAGCTCCCTTCGGGCGGGGTCAGCATGGAATCTGGATAGCCACCAGAGAAAGTGATCCATTTATCTTTGGGAAATTTTTCTATTTCCCTGCCATTTGGGAGTTGAGGTTTGGTCCATTTGTCTAGCTCTTTCATGGCAGCCTGGCTTTCTCAAGAGTTATCACCACCGCCCCTCTATTCAGAACAGCTGGTCCTCCCACCCCTAGCTAGACTATCTGTCCTGCGTGTGCAAGCTTTCTGTTCACTTCTTGAGAAAGAGACAAAAAAAAAAAAAAAAAAAGACATGGCTGTTTAAAGCAGCTGTGTAGTCTAAGGCCCGTCTCTGTCCTGATCAGACACTGCACACGTGCAGACAAAGCTAATGGGTTTATCAGAATGAACCCAGAGCAGCCCTGTCTCTGCAGGACCTGCAAAAGTGATATGTGTGTGGGGGGGGAGGGGTTAAGGAGTAGCGTAGTAACCTGCTGTCTTAATACCAGCATCAGGAGGCGGAGACAGTAAACACCAGATCCCAGTTCCGCTGTCAGGAAAACCAGACAAATCAAATATTTGACTAGTAATAAAATCCTGTCCCTGCAAGAAATCAGCAAGGCAACAATTTTAAAAACTGTTAACAGTCAATGAGCTATCTTGAAGCCTCTGCCTCTCAAATTAAATTCCTCAGGACCACAGCCCTGGCTAATACTGCATGGAGAAGAATCACTCAGCTGAGCTTAACCAACTCAGAGAATCACTAGCAGGAGTAAGTCAGTGTTAACCTAGGGGGAAAAAAAAACCATCACCAGTGTATGAACTATGGGGTGAAAAACAGCAATGGAGCAGCCAATGGAGAATGTTTCTGGTGAAAAACTACAGAGCAGCCAATGAAGAATGTTTCTGGTTTTTCTGGGGAGGAAAAAACTTCAAAACATCCAGTACATGAATATATTTTCCTATATTATAAATGGAAGATGCATAAAAGCAAGGACACGGGTAAGTTACATGATGTAGTTTAGTCCTCTATCCCACTTTTCCAATTTCATCTTCCCTCGATGAACACAGTTTTAATACAAAAGCAAAATGGTGAAAACCTATACGAGAGAGAGAGAGAGAGAGAGAGAGAGAGAGAGAGAGAGAGAG